GGTTCGATTTTTTTTCCACCCCTAAAACTAGGGATCAAACATCGGCAAAAAAAAATCAAAGAAGGCAGGAAATGAGCAAACGACAACCACACCACTAGAAATCCACTAAAAATGGCAAACCCTAATCTGGTCTGGAAATAGAACAAGGAGAGAATACCACTTAACATGCTGAGTCAGAAACATGAAGTAAGAGCACAAGAACGGAACCAGAAAGCGAAACGCGGCAAAGGCGAAGAAAAGCGACTTGCAAGACAAAGCAAAGACACCAAGAAGGAGTCAAAGCAAACACACAACCTAAGGGATGACATAAACAAGGCAGGAAGCGAAATTAATCGAGGAAGACGAAGAGGAAGGCAAGCTAATCACCAAGGAACATGAACATAAAATGAGATTGATGAAGAAGTGAACCCAAGCATACTTAAAACCGTGCCCATCCTTAAGGCCATAGTGAGACGAATCAAACAACAATTCCAAGATAAATCAACAAAAAACTACGACATGCGGAACTAAGACCACGCCAAATCACCACAGCAAACTCTGTCGTGATATTGGCAGACTTTGCCATGATATTGACACACTGTGCCGAAATATTGGTAGACTCTGTCGAGATATTGGCAGACTCTATCGAAACATTGGTAGACTTTTTCGAGACATTGGTAGGCTAGCATATTTGATAGATAAGTCTGCCAACACATTTGGAAGATTTTCAGATTGTCTGCCAAAGAAATGTAGACTTTACCAAAACAAAACAAAAGCCATATTCCGCGAAAACATTGACATTTGTAGAATGTTTTGTGTTTTGTTGATAATTGTTTTCAAATGTGGTTTCTATTTTCTTACTTGAAACATGTTTCTTTAAAATTAAGTCTATACCTCTTTTTATACTATAGGGAAGGTATAATAATTCTAGATATTATTTTTTTTCTCTCTTTAAAGGGACAGATTGTGCTCCAAAAAAAAAAAATTTTCTATTAAGAAGATTTCGGTTCGTCCATTGGAAAGGAAACAAGACCCCAATATCTCTGGATTAATGGTGTTTTACTAACTTGAGGAAAAACAAGTGAAAATGGATTTAGGGGAGGCTGCTAGTTGGCTAATAGGGTCCTTTGGGGTCGACTAGGAGGAGGAAGCTTTGGGTGCTGGCTGGCAGGGATTCTGGGAATGGACTACACTCTTCTTTTATGAGACTAATCTTCCCAAGACTGCACATCAATTATTATGTTAATTATATTTGTTTAGCACGGATAATTACCAACAAAAAATAATAAGTTCTCTATATCCAATTTAGGATTTAGATTTTTTTTTTTAATTAGAAATGAGTTTAGAGTAATTATTGAGAAACTAAAACTAATGCTGAAATTTTTGGAATGAAATTTTTTAAAATTGTGGTATATATATTTGTTTATGTTGAACCTTGACATTCATTGTCATTTATTAACAGTTTTTCCGTGTGTCATTTTATCATATTTATATGTTAACTTTGCATTTGTCATTTAATTTTGCTGGATTATATATTTAGATGTTTTAATCTTCAGATTTTGTTTAGGAAAACTATTTGACTTAAATAAAAAAGTGTGAGATTGTTTTGAATTATGTTCCTTTTTGAATTTTTTAGTTTGGAAAGACATTTTCATTTAGTGTACTTGTGGTACTCATATATATATATATGCTTGGAGAGATTTAGATGAGACACACCTTAAAACACCAAGAAAACTAAAAATTAAATGAAAATTAGAGGCCTAAGGTAAAAATTTGTCCACCCATTTATCATCTCTATCATCAGAATCTCCCATTTCCCCTACTCAAAAAAGAAAAAGAAAAAAGATGTATGTGAAAAAATGGGTTTCACAACTTACTATGATTCTCCTACTAGCAGCAGGGACTGTATACAAGCAAGCTCATGGGACAAGTCCGATCAAGACGGTCGTAGTTGTGGTGATGGAAAACAGATCGTTCGATCACATGCTTGGTTGGATGAAGAAGCTAAACCCGGAGATCAACGGCGTTGATGGGTCGGAGTCTAACCCGGTGTCTGCGTCCGACCCTTCCTCTAAGAAAATCAAATTCGGGTCGGGTTCGCATTTTGTGGATCCGGATCCAGGTCATTCGTTCCAGGCAATAAGGGAGCAGATATTCGGGTCGAACGACACAACCATGGATCCTCCGCCGATGAACGGGTTCGTTCAAGTAGCATATTCGATGGACCCCACTGGTAACATGTCCGCAAGTGTTATGAACGGATTCGAACCTGATAAGGTTCCTGTCTACAAGTCTCTTGTCTCTGAGTTCGCTGTTTTCGATAGGTAAAATCTTCTTCTTCTTTTTTTAAATAATATTTTCCTCACTATTTTGGACTTATTATACTATTATTACTACGTAACATAATCTTACTGTCGCATCCTTTTGTCGGCTTAACTCATCTAAAACCGGTAATACATTAATTACGCAATAAAATTCGTTAGATATATTTCTTAAAAGCAATAAATCTGAAATTAATGATTCTATTTAAATATATTTCTCTCTTTATGGAAGTATCATTACGTCATATAGTCTTTTTTGTTAAGTACGTAATAATATTAAAAAAAATTTATCAAAAATTTGAAAGGCCAGAAAATTTGGAATTTGAAAAACAGATGGTTTGCATCGGTTCCATCATCGACACAACCAAACCGAATGTTCGTGCACTCAGGGACGTCAGGAGGAGCCACAAGCAACAACCCTATGTCACTTGCAAAGGGTTATCCTCAAAGAACTATCTTCGAGAATCTTGAAGAAGACGGAATCTCTTTCGGAATATACTACCAGAATATTCCGGCGGTATTGTTTTATCGAAACCTAAGGAAACTCAAATACGTATTCAAGTTCCATAGCTATGGACTCTCTTTCAAGGATGATGCAAAGAAAGGAAAGCTCCCTAGCTATACTGTGATTGAGCAACGTTACATGGACACTATCTTTGAGCCGGCTAATGATGATCATCCTTCCCATGACGTCTACCAAGGACAGGTTTATTTTTTTTCATACTTTCATATCTGTCTATATTATTTATTTGCCATAAATAAATCTCTTTTTCTGTTTTTAAGAAAATAATTCTTTTCAACATATAACTCATTATGTTTCAAAAAAAAAACATATAATTACATTATAAATGAATAATGTTTGATTATTTTCCCACAAATAATAACATTTTGAATATGGCATATTTTCACAATTAGTTATATCATTTAAAAATATGTTAATCAAATATATGATTAATATTCATTCCTTAATAATAGACTAAAAAGATTTATAAATTCAGAATAATAAATCGTTTTAATCATTGAGAACGTAAAATAGTACATGTGTTGGTCACAGTTTGACAAAGTTGACAAAGTTTATAAATATGGAAGTGCTATCACTAATATATGAATACGTTGGTCACATATTTCAGAAATTTATAAAGGAAGTGTACGAGACCCTAAGAGCGAGCCCACAATGGAACGAAACTCTATTGATGATCACTTACGACGAGCACGGTGGGTACTTCGACCATGTGGCCACACCGGTTCGCAATGTTCCAAGCCCCGACGGTATAGTGGGACCGGAACCATTCCTATTTGAATTTAACCGGTTAGGTGTTCGTGTGCCAACAATAGCCGTGTCGCCATGGATCGAGAAAGGAACTGTCGTACATGGACCAAAGGGGTCACCATTCCCATCATCAGAATACGAACATTCTTCGATCCCCGCGACTGTGAAGAAACTATTCAATCTATCGACGCCTTTCCTCACAAAGAGAGATGAATGGGCTGGGACTTTTGAGAACATCTTACAGATCCGAAAAGAGCCTCGAACTGATTGCCCTGAGACATTACCAGAACCGGTTAAAATAAGAATGGGAGCGGCCAACGAGAGTGCGCGGTTGAGTGAGTTTCAGCAAGAGCTTGTGCAATTAGCCGCGGTTTTAAAAGGAGATGATTCGCTTACGACATTTCCTAAAGAAATAGGAAAAAGAATGACAGTGATTGAAGGGAAGAGGTATATGGAAGACGCTGTGAAACGATTCTTAGAGGCGGGTCGTTTAGCTCTCTCCATGGGAGCTAATAAAGAAGAGCTTGTCCAGATGAAAACTTCCCTCACCGGAAGAAGACATTAAGCTCATTCTTCCTTTTTACTTCCATCATATATCTCTTTTTCTTTTTCCATTACTTGTAAGTCAAATCCCAGATATCTTATTAATAAAACGATTGTTTATAATTCATCTCCTCATTTAATATATTTTTTTAGTATATCATTCTTAATTCATCAACCAAAAATATTTTGGATTGAATTGCTTGATTAATGCTCACTCCGTTTTTTGTGGATAAAAATTATTAGATTCATTTGAGTTTAGAGAAAAAAAGACGAGATTAAGATATTAAAAATGTCTTTATTGTTCAAATATTAGTAGCAAATTATGCTCTCCTACTGTTTTGGAGAATTCTTAGTTGCTCCAACTCATTATGGATGACATTTATAAAATGACATGCAATCAGGAAGACTCTCTCTGTGGGACACTCTCAACACTACACTTGGGGTTAAAGCTTCATCGAACTTGCAACTTGAATCTTGCATCAACTTGTGTTCATGCTGAGGTATATATATGATAGTCTTTTGATCGATTTGTAACATGATAAACACCTACTTTTCGGGTGTCTTTAAGATATCACTACCGGATCTCAGGGCATTTTTTTGAAACATTTGAATGGGTCTCCAACATTTAAAGCTCCACTTATAAAAAAAAATCAATTTATGTATTAATTCAATGAAAACATGTTTATTTAATGAAAAAAATGAAGATTAAGTGAGATAACAAAAAAAAATTGTGAAATTTATTTTTTATGACATTATATGATAAAAAGGTAAAGATTTTTGTTAAAAAAAACAGATGTTTTTTAAAAAGATATGAGTGTATTTTTGTTTAAAAACCAGATTTTTTATAAAAATGATTTAAATTAAATATTAATTAATTTTTTTTATGTATAGGCCCTGATAATCTCAGATCCGGCTAGAGAGAAGAAACTGAAAAAACGAGAAGTATTGGTACAAGTAGTGAAGTATTGGTACAAGTAGTAACAAAAGACTTGACACATGGATTTCTCTACAATTAAAGAATATCACTATATATTTCTTTAGATGAATTTTTAATTTTTACATAAGTGGTTCTTCACCTAGATCATGGATGTGTCTCTTCAGTTTATTTGAGTCTTTATCTAGATAATTGGAACATGTTTCGAGCAAAAGATATCATGGAAATC